TCAGGATGACCTGCGCGGATGTGATGCAGGTATGGGGGATGGTCTGCATAGAGCGGAGGGGGTTCGTGAGGTAGGCCACAACGTGCGCGACGGCGGAGACGTTGGAGGATGAGGACATGGTCGTAAGAATTGGATCTGTGAAGTATCGTCCGGCGATGAATGCAAAGTCTAGCGTGTCAAGCGTGAAGGTCGTAGACGTGGAATGGGAATGGAATGGGATGGAATGGAAGGTCGTGCAGGTAAAAACGTCGAAAAAAGCGAAGTGGAAGAGCAGTGCAGAAGCGCAGGAGGTAAGAGACCGAGAGTCTTGATGTACCACACACTCCTTTGCGGTTCTTATACGGGTATCACCATATGTATCGGACAATGGCTGCGGGTAGTGAACGCGCATTGTGAGAGAGGAATAAATATTTGTCGCTGCTTGTCAGTCAGGAGATGGTGGCACGTGATCAATGTTCAACCTATGGTTCGCCTCAAGTTTTTCTTGTCAACGTCCGACCACTTTGAAATCGTGCAGCACCTTGAAAAAAATTCCTTTAATATTTTATTCTGACTCGTTACACTGATCCGCAGTCATCATTCCAGTCAACCCAAACGAGGTTCGTGGTTGCCTTGATGTTCACCCTCGGGCTGTATCTCAGGGTCCATCCGCATCTTCACGGTCCAGTGGATGTGCACTCCTTGCTAATTTCACCGTGGGGGACATCGCGTCCTCGGCCACGGTATATTCTGGCAGCATCATCCCATCATTCAAATTGGGAGCAAACGGGATCTGAGTGGAATGCTGAACGAGAGCATTTGCAGTCGCCACTCACATCATTGCTTTAGTCACGTATCGGTCTTATCCTAGAGCCTGAGCCTCTGAGGTAAACATTCTAGAAGGTTGCTCCTGAGGATGGTTTGTGTTCAGTCTACTGTGACAGGCAGGTGTGTCCATAGGGCCACAATTCCCCACTCGAGTCAGCAGCAGCATCCAGTACCCCGACATGATCGCTAGTTTCTACAGCCGATAAATTAGAGTACAAGTCCATTAGTGGAGTAGATATATCACTCGAAGATCCGGTCCCATGGCTTCTGACATGAATTCCCACTGTAATCTGCGAGCAGCCACTCAGTCAGAACGAGGACATTGGCCCGGATGAGATGAGACATACCGTGTGTTTTGCCAGGATCGCATCCGCACATGCCTTTCGACCACACGTCGTTGTCAGTGGGACAATGCTGGTTTGGGCGGTGCTCGTAGCCGATTTCATTGAAGAAGTGGATTTTGGACTTGTCCAGGAAAGCGCAGCGCGGCGATCGAGTGGACGGGAGCATCGCCCCACCGCTGATCGAAGACCTAGTCAACGGACTAGCGCTATCGAATGGAACAGCCGCGCACCTCGTAATAGACCCGCCCGTCGCATCGAGAAATTCGAAGAACTTGGTGTAGATCTCGCCTCGCCAAAAGTCCATGTCAGCGATCTCGAAGTTGGACCAGACTGAGGAAGGATAGGGCGGTGATTGTCAAATCGCGCGCACACGAGGTAACTGCGAAACATCCTCACAGTGACACATGTTAAATTCGTCACCGCCGTCGTCACTGGAAAGCCCATGGCGTTCTGTGTGCCACGTATTCCGGGTACTTCTTCATGAAATCCTTGACGGTGTCCCAGAGCGTGGGGATCGTCGGCGCCCACTCGTACAGAGCGATCGTGAACGAGTACACCTCTTCTGCCTCCTCCATGTACAGGAACGGATCGAACGTGAGCGAGCAGTGGAAGTGCACGTCGGGCTCTATCCTCCAGTACCACTTGTACGGGAGCAGGAGCTCGTGCTTGAAGAAGAACCCGCTGTTGAAGCGACACATGTTGCGGTAGGAAACGCTCCCGGCGTAGATGATCCCTGGTGCTGCAGCTTTTTGCGGCCTGCCTTAGCCTTGGCCTCGTCGATCCAGTCCGGCTTGTGTGATGACTCAGCAGACCGCTAAGTGGAGCAGCGGAAGCCAGGGCCGCTCACCTGATACCAAAACTCATGAGGAATGACGCCAAACGAAACCGGGGCACGAGTGACTGCGGAGACCCGCCTGGGAAAAATGATGCGGGGTTCATCAAAAAAGCGCAGTCAAGGAGCGACCGTACGCACTTCTGAAGTCGTCCGTGAACGGCTCCTCGTTCAGAAACACATACGGGTACCCATAGTTCTCATTGAACCGGTCCTCAATGCTCCTGATGCTCTGCACGGCGCCGTTGACGTCGCTGTTCCGCGCGAGCATGACGAACGTGGCGTTCGCGCGCGTGGAGTTCCCGCTGTGCCCTCCGATGGCCCATTTCGGCAGAGGCTCGATCCCAGGTTGCTCGGGACCGCCAAGTCAGTGCTTTGTGATTGCTCTTTGCGCCACCCGGCGGTGAGGGAGGAGATGGACGTCGCGCGGTTGTACGGCTCGTGGGTGGCGGAGAGGAGGAAGTGCGAGGTAAGGATCAAGCTCAGGACGAGTATCACGTATCGAGTGGATTTGGTCAAGACCAACGGCATTTTCGAGGAGGTCGAGCAGGTCGGTCTTGCCCAGCGAAAGTGAGACGTGTTCGTAGTTCGGAATAAAGAATGATAAATCCCCAACTGACTGCGGATGGTGACGAGAACGATTGGTTATCTCGGACACCGCCGCCGTGTCAGAACTGTGCTGCAACTCTTCGAAATTCGCAATCACATGCCCAAGCTGGATTAATGCTCCGATTCGCAATGCTCAGGAGCAGCCCTCGAACTTTACCTTCGCTTGGAATCCCAACCAGCCGTGCCATGTCCTCCAGCGAAAGCGTGCATAGGCTGCAGTCGGTTTGTTCAGCGTCCACCCCGGCGCCCGATCTACCGCCTGCGTGTCCAGCGCCAAGGTTTTCTCCTGTTGCAAAGATTCACGGGTAGAGCACTCAATGCCGAAGTGCAATGGAATCACCCTGTTCCATAGGAGAGCTAGAAAAATGAAATGACGGGGGATCGCCACGTGGGAGGGGACTCGGAGGCAAGACTGCGACGATGAGGCAGATCTCTTTGAGCGGAACGTTCTCGTCAGCAGATGAGCACTACATAGTAGCGCGTGCTGTATGGCCCTGCTTTTGCATCGACAGTCTGATTCGACACCATCAGATGAATATGATCTGAGCGACTGCTAAATCACCTGGATCCACGCCGAACGCTGGGCTAAATGATGGTAGAACTCAAAAGGACCATGTCGGATAGCAAAGAATAAAGATACAGCGGGATCATCGAGGGAGACTACAAAGTACAGGTTTCTAAGCTGAAAGGTTCGAGCTACAGGAAGAGGAACGGACTGGAACTGGGGGATACATCATATAAGAGACGGGAGAAAGGCTTAAGTCGTTGGTCGTTGAGATCTTCACGAGCGGGCACCACCGAGCATGACACCCCCGGTCATGACGCGAGTCACGCCCCCTGGTACAGGTAGGAGACCTTGGGGGACAGTTTGGCCGGGCGCTGCTGCACAGCAGCCGAGGGAGCGGGCAGACGACGGGCGACAGTGGGCCTGACTGTCGTACACGAAGGCTTCTCGATGGGAGAGGAAATCGGTACGAGGTCACGGACGAAGCGGTATCGCTTTCGGAGTCGGAAAAGTCGCTTTCAGAGTCCGAGCTGCTGCTGTTGCTGCTGGCGGCGTCATCGTTCACAGGCTGGCGGCGCATTGTCCGCATGCGCGCGGCGAACAACGTCGCTCGGAGCCGCAAAAGAGTCGGCTGTTCGTCGTCGGCGGCAGCAGAAGCATCCTGCACCTTGGCTGGTTTCGCCTGCTGCTGCTGCTGGACACTCCCACCATTCGAGAGGCTCCACCTCCACACATCGACCACCGCTCCGTTGCCAACCCGCGCCTTGACGAACCGCGGCCCGAACACGATCGAGATCGTCTCGTCCGTCTGCCCACCGAGCGCGGCGAACCACACGGCCCATGGGATGTTCGACCCAATCGATGCCGCGAACACCGCCGGCGGGGGCGTCGCGAGCGTCAGAGTGAGAGTGGTGCACGGTGCGCGCGTGCCGGAGAGGGACGCGGTCAGGATGACCTGCGCGGATGTGATGCTGGTGTGCGGGATGGTCTGCATAGAGCGGAGGGGGTTCGTGAGGTAGGCCACGACGTGCGCGACGGCGGAGACGTTCGAGGATGAAGACATGGTCGTGACAATTGGATCTGTGTGAGGTATCGTCCGGCGATGAATGCAAAGTCTAGCGTGTCAAGCGTGAAGGTCGTAGACGTAGAATGGGAATGGGAATGTGAAGGTCGAGCAGGTAGAAACGTCGAAACAAGCGAAACGGAAGAGCGGTGCAGAAGCGCAGGAGGTAAGAGACCGAGAGTCTTGGTGTCCCACAGACTCGCCTGTGGTTCTTATACGGGTATCACCATTATGTATCGGACAATGGCTGCGGGCAGTGAGCGCGCATTGTGGGGAGAACAATGAGTATTTGCAAGTGTTTGTCGGTGGATTGACCGGGAGCAGCACGTGATCGTTGTTCAACTTATCGTGGGCGCACGATTTCCTATTAACATCCAACCACTTTGAGCTCCGGCAATCCTCAAATAAATATTTCCATCCACATTTTTCCTCCAACTCATACATTGATCCACAGGCCATGATTTCAGTCCACCCAGATAGGATCTGTGGTTGCCTTGATGTTCGCTCTCGGGTTGTATCCCAGCGCGTCCATCCGCATCTTGACGGTCCGGTGGATATGCACTCCGTGCGTGGTCTGACGGGGGACATGGCGTCCCCGGCCGCGATGTATTCTGGAAGACCATCATCGCATCCACCCAAATCGGGGAAAGGGGCATTTGCAAGCGCCTAGTTTGACTACTCACATCATCGCCTTGGTCCACGTATCGTTCTTCTCCTGAAATCTGAGCTTCTGCGGGAACCATTCGAGGAACCACCAGATCCTCCGCCGCAAGAGCTCGTCGTTGAGCGCCGTCATGGCATCCGCCAGATCCTCCTCTTCCTCGCTCACGAAGTCCCAGTCAGCGATGACCTTCCCCTTAATCTCCGTGCTGCCTTGCATGCGCTCGTCGTCTGGGTCCGGCATAATCGGAGGAGGGCGGGGCAGGACGTGCGGATACAGCCGATCCGGGTCGATGCCGGCCATGCGGAGCATCTCTGCATGGAACATGATCCCCGTGCGCACCACGAAGCACTGGCGGATCATCCACCGGAGTGATATCCGGGCAAGACTGTTGCGAGCGTTGTTCGGGAGCGCACCGCCGCCGACATCTGCGCGCGGCATCCAGGTCAGTACATAGCCGGTGGGAACCGAGGCGCACCGGCGTGACAACCCGCGAACCACACTTCCTGGATGTCCGTCTCGAATTCCGCTGCGACTGTGAGGGGTCCGTCAGACTCAGCTCAATCTGGGCGCCGTGTTGAATTGAAATCTTCTCACTCGAGTACTGTCGCTCCAGATCGTCGAGCGATTTGCCGCTGACCTTCTGCGTGTGCCTAGAGCGCGGCATCTCTCCTTTCTGGACGCCGAGGAGCAGGTCATCGGGCGACGGGCGGTGCCAGAAGTTGGGCTGGAACCGAGCCCGGTGCTCGTCCAGTGCGATCGCGTGTCGGAAGTACCGCACGTTCGTGTTGTTCCTCGTAAATGGCAAGCGGCGCGGGACGAAGCCCACTGAGCTCACGGTGTCCCTGCCGGATGCGAGTAAGAATCACGGACAAGCGCGAGTAAGAATCAGTAGATAAGAACGGAGAGGCGACACGAATAGCACACACCAGACCCGAGGAACTCAATTTCGACGTCGATGCTGAATGCGCGTTTGAACGCTGTGCTCTGGACCGAGGATCTGCGCATGTATTCACATCGAGCACTCTCGAGACTCACCTGGCGCCAGCCCACTTCGTCCTCCCGCGAATACATCTTGTACGCAAAGGCTACTTGTTGGTGGTTACATTTGGGCAATAGGCCGACCTTGTGGATCCTGGAATCGTATGTCTCTTCAGAATTTGTAGCATCGCGGATCGAGCGCGGAACACCGACATTCCCGCCAATGCCCGCGCGGTCTGCACCCGTCAGAAAGTGTCCACAGACAGCTCGCACGAACTCACATAGGCGCCACGGGAGAAGCCGAATAGGCAGATCTTGTCACCCGCCTGATCTAGCAACGCCATTGTCAGGTAAGGCCAGCCTCCGCCCCTGCTCTGTACGCACAGTTCTGCATCAGGAACTCGTATCCGCCCATGACGTGTGCGTTCAGATGTAGGCCGAGCATGGCGTCGATGGTGCGGTGGAGCTTCGCCATGAACGGGTGGGCGATCTCTGGGACAGAATACGTCCCGATCCCCGCCTGCGAGCGACCTCAGACACCCGTGGTTCGGACACGATGCTGAGCGGACGACTTGCCTGGTAGTAGACCAGCTGGTGTTCGCAGTCGTCCTTCTTGAGCATCGAGAAGAAGTTCACCACGTTCGAGTTCTGGGAGGTAAGGTTAGGCTCACATTTGAGAGAATAACCTTGAAATGAATCCGTGCGTAGCCGAGAAGCTTACATCGTCGTCGAAACAGTCCCCTGTCCCATCGAACGCGAGGACGAGAGTGCGATGTCTGTGCGTCGGTGGTACAGTGCGCTCGAGATTGAATCGATCCGATTCCTCCCTCTTGTCGGGGTCCATCGGGCTGGGAGAGCTACGTTGAGGGAACGTGGCATACTCGGAGAGAGAGGTTATCGGAGAATCGTTCGGAGACTCCATGGCTCGACGAGGGAGTGAGGGACACGGAACTTGATTGCCAGCTAGTCTTGATATATATATGACAGGACAGCGTCACAGACGTCCAGCGACCTTTGGGTTTAATATCCACCCCGACAGATTCAACGGCTTTCCCGAGTAAGGGGCGTGTGTTCTTCGGAGCAGACTGCTAATCTGTTCAGTTCCAGATATTACATCATGATCGAACTCGTTACGGATGGCGCAGTGCTAAGGGTTTCTGTTTTCAGAGACCGTGAGTGGGAGTGGAGCCGAGCGAGTGAGACGCCCGGAGCGCCACAGTTCGGAGACCCTAAATCAACATGGAGAGGCAGACGTCTGGCAGCTACAAAGCTACATCCGAGAAGAACCCACGGAGTTGATAGCTCTTGAATTCATGAGAGCGGGCGTGTTAAACATGCGCCATTAGTCGTCAGTGCGAGCAGTAGATACTCGAGCAGGTTTTCGAGTGTCGTTGGTGTAGACAATGACGATTGCATGATTGACACAGGGAGATCGTGTGATTTAATCGCAGTCGCGCCGGTCGGAACCCCTATCAGGCGGGGTAAGAGAGGCTCCGGATACATCTGGCGCAACTGCGCTGTCGATTCCACTGACGAGAGTTGCAAGTCACTGATGAGGTATGTCCACCAAACAACAGGACGAATCCCATCGTATTGTCCTGTCCAATCATGTCATGCGGTGAACTCGCAGTCGGTCAGAAGGTATTTCGGAATCGCATCGAGTCGTCCCATGTCGTTCTGATCAAGGAAGACTTCCAATGAGGGCTGAACCGAGACCTACAGTGAGGATCGTCACAAATAGAACAGTGAGGTGTCGGTGATGTCCGGACTGCGCACTATCTATATCGGATCAAAGGATATAATCATCACCCGATAACACACGTGTCCGATAGGCGAGCACATGGAGAATCTCATCTAATCTGATAGAAGAAGCTTACGGCGCAATATCTGATAAACGGAGATGAGATTGCTATTGAACGGCCATAATGCGGGACCTTGGTAAACTGATTGCATGGCAGCCTAATGTCCACTTGCCCCCGTGGATTCTCCTTTTCCATTCTTCAGGTAGTGCAAAAGGCGCGCCGGGTCATATATCTGTCGGGGTGGACTAGGCAAATTGCAATACCATTCTCGGAGGTTTTTGGCGGACTGCAGGCTCCAACGACAACGTGGGACCAGATGCGGCGGTCTCGCCTTTTCTTCGACCTCATGTCACCGACTATCAGATAAACCGATAGCCGAAATCTGATAAGCACATCTGACTGACAGCGACAAAATTTTCCTCGTCTATGAATTTGTCGCCGGGCGACAGTGTTTGCAAGCCGTTGTGAGCTCGAGCGCCCATAAAGCTTGGCTGAGTGGCATGGCGTCTTAGATCCGTGTCGATTCATCTGGGAGAGCGAATTACTTCCCTGTGCTACTTGTGCTTAGTTGCATTCCCGACACACCGCCTGTCAGTGTACTTACCGGGAATAAGTATCGCGAAACGGGCCCGGAAGTATCCTAATGGCAGTTCTATCCCACCGACAGAAGCCGGATGGTTTCGTACAGTAATATAAGTGGGGTTCCCGGATTCAGCGCTTGAAGCAGGTTTTCCCTCTCTGCCCTTCCCCCCGCCCTTCAGCTGCCAACGACCACGAACATGTTTACCTACCATGACCAGATGATCATCGCTCACGGTGCGCATGGCTTCCATAGAGCTCCGGCCTCCGGCTGATCGACCTGCTCAGCTGTATTCGCTTCCATCGCGGTGTTGTTCACCGCGCCCGCAGCGGTCCTCATCGGCCGCTTCTTCCGCGACCGCCAATGGTGGTTCAAAGCGCACCTCGTACTCCAGACGCTCACGGCCGTATGCGTCATCATCGTGTTCATCGTCGGCACCGCCGCAGTCGACAGCGGCGCGCACCCGAACCAGTTCGTCGGGTCGCGCAAGGACCCGCACCACGACATCGGCCTGTCCATCTTCATCCTGTTCCTGCTGCAGTTCATCCTCGGCGTCGTCGCGCACTACACGCACTCGGCGGGGTACAGCAAGCCGGGCAGCGCGTTCCCGACCATCACGGTGCAGAAGCACGCGCTGCGCCATGTCCACGTCTTCTGCGGGATCGCGATGACCGCGCTGCTCTACGCGGGGATGAAGACGGGGATGGACGAGTGGAACCGCGTCGCTGACGCCGGGACGCTCGTGCCCCGCGGAATCACGATCGCGTTCTGGGTGCTCTTCGCGCTCGAGGTCGCCGCGTATGTCGCGGGCTGGGCGAGCGAGCCAGTGCGCTCGAGGAGTATGCAGCCCAGCGCCGCGACGAGCACAGAAAAAGTAGCCGCATGAGCACAGTACGAAGATTATGAAATTGTAATGAGATTATTTTTCCACTGAATCAGTGTGCGAATGTGTGACCAGCGGGTGGGTGGGTGCAACCTGGGCGCGCTTGGCGTGACAGAGTGAGTGCGTCACGCGTGTCACGTGCTGGAAACCGTCCCCCTAAGCCGGAGTTCCAGGCGCCAAAGTTCGAGCAAACCGTGATCATCGTATCTCCGCACCATTCTGCTCTTTCCCCTTGGTCCACAATCACGATGGCGCTCCAGAAGCATCTCTTGAACGACCCTGAATCTCTGGTCCTCGATTCCTTGGCTGGCCTGTGCGCAGTCAACAACCAACTCGTCCTCGACCCACCGAGCAAAGGTGAGCGGAGCGATCCTCGTGCCTTGATGGCCCGCAGTCTCACACACGACCCGCGGCAGTCGTCTACAACTCCCACCGTGACCGCTCCAAAGTCGCGCTCATCTGCGGCGGCGGCTCCGGCCATGAGCCTTCGCATGCTGGATTCGTCGGTTCGCGATACCCAGACGCTGTCTCGACGCAGCAGCTCACGATGCGGACCAGGCGAGGGGATGCTCAGCGCGGCGGTCTGCGGCCACGTGTTCGCCTCCCCCAACGCGGCGCAAGTGCGGCGCGGGATGGATCTGGTCGAGAACGACGCGGGGTAAGTTCTCGATCAACACATCTTGGGGCACTTGGCGTTCTCATTCGTTCGAAGAACCTTGATTCTGGTCAAGTGAGCAGTGATTCCCATCGTCCAGTAGCGTGCAAGATTGCATCCAGCCAATCGTCATCGCTAGGAACTACACCGGCGACGTTCTCAACTTCGGGCTCGCGGCGGAACAGTACGCCGCGGAGCACGCAGACAAGTCGGATCGCGTCAAGTTTATCGTAGTCGGCGACGATGTGGCCGTAGGCAGAACACAGGGTGGGCTCGTCGGCCGCCGTGGCCTTGCGGGCGTCGTGCTGGTGTATAAGATAGCTGGAGCCCTGGCGGCGGAGGGCGCGACGCTCGAAGAAGTGTACGCTGTCGCGCAATGGGTCTCAGGTCGCGTCGGAACGATCGGGGTCGGGCTGGAACATTGCCATGTATTGCGACCCTCCTGCTACCGCTCATTCTATTGTGCCCTAACAAGCTTCAACAGGTCCCGGGCACCGCGTCACCCTCCCATTCCCTCGGTACAAGCGAAATTGAGATCGGCCTGGGGATCCACAACGAGCCGGGCAACCAGCGTCTCTCGTGCATCCCACCGCTCTCAGAGCTCATGGTGACTCTGCTCGACCTAATCACTCTCACGACAGATCCAGAGCGGGCGTACCTGCCATTCCAGAACGACGGAAAGGACGAGGTGGTGTTGCTGGTGAACAATCTTGGTGGGATGAGCGAGCTCGAGCTGGGTGGGGTCGTCCGCGCTGCTCACGAGGAGCTGCAGAAGAGGCAGATCGTCGTCCGCAGAGTCATCTCCGGCACTTTCATGGTGAACATGCACGGTGTATCTCTGGATCCTGAACTAATCCTTCTTCCAGACGAGTCTCAACATGCCAGGCTTCTCCATTTCACTTGTTTTGCTGCCTCGAGCGGACGAGTCGGACGCCCCGAAAGTCGATAAACTACTCATGCTGCTCGATGCGCCTGCGAAGACCCCCGGCTGGAAGTGGTCCTCAGGCACGGCTCCAATCACTCCAACGCCTCTCGCGCCTTCTGCAGTCTCTGCCGTCAACAAGGCTTCTAGCGCTAACCCCGTGTCCGTCCCGAATCTCGTCACATCACTTACGAAAGCGTGCAATGCGCTCATTGCTTCCGAGCCGGAAATCACCCGCATGGACACGATCGCGGGTGACGGCGATTGCGGCCTGACTTTGAAGGCGGGGGCCCAGGCCGTGTTGAGGGAGATCGAGGCCGGGAACATCGCTGGATCGGATCTGGTCTCCGACGTCGTCGCGATCTCGAAGGTCGCGGAGACTCGGATGGGGGGAACCAGTGGGGCCATCTACTCGTGCGCGTTCCCCGAGGAGTGTCGACCGTCTCATCGCTGAGCTCTTCCAGGATCTACCTCTCCGCCCTCGCCCAGGGAATCCAGACTCACGCCCAGAACTCGGCTCCCGAAATGTGGGAACGAGCACTGGCCAGCGCGCTTGCCAAGCTCTACACGTACACCCGCGCACGGCCGCCGTCTCGCACCTTGGTCGACCCGCTCGCTGCGTTCGTCAACGCGTTCCCGGACGGCTTTTCCGGCGCAGTGAAGGCGGCTGCGGAAGCCGCCGCGCACACGAAGGACGTCGAGGCGAAGGCTGGGCGCAGCGCGTATGTCGATGCCGGGATGCTCAGCCGGGAGCAGGTGGCTGATCCCGGAGCCTGGGGTGTGAAGGTGATTCTAGAGGCGCTGTAGGAGTCGCTAGTGTATTGAAATATGAATGTAAGTTGTAGTCGAGGATCTTGTAACAACTGAATCACAAAGTCTATCTGTTCGTGAGACGCAGTGTTAGAGTATAGAGCCAAAACTCAGGCCGAACGCTGAGTCTTACAGTCTAGGTGGTTGTGGAACGTAGCCGTTCGTTGTACTCCAGGGGTTACCGCTCAAAACCAGATAATATATCTGGTGCAACACGTGGGACATTGCATACTTAGAAACAAACAGATCGATCTGCCGAGGCATCGTACACTACGAATGACAATGAGTGGAAATGCCAAAAATGATTTGCATGCTTGAGATGAAGATAGTCCAAGATCGAAATTGTCCGGGAGGGTGCTGCTCTCCCAACATCCACTCATGACTCATCAGAAGCCTCCGATACCCCACACCCCGGCACCGGCACCCAGGATGGCAACGAGCGTCGCGGCCCAGATCCCAGGGGGCACAGCGTAGCCCTTGCCGTTGAACGGCACGTACGACGGGGTCGCGCTGGCGGTCGTGGTGTTGGATCCTCCGGTGCCTCCGCCAGTCAGATTGGCGCCGTTCGGCTGCAAAGCAGTGTGTCAGCCACGTGTGGTCGGAGAAAGAGCGGGTGGGTGCTCACCCCAATCGGCCGCGAGTTATCGACAAACGCGCAGGTGTTGGCATTGCACAGACAGTTTCCGGCGATGGGATCCCAGAACGCGGTGGAACAGTTGCTGGGTACTGCGAAGAGACAAAGATCATGAGCTCGTTGTAGAAAGAGAGCATGCAGGACACAGACGTCGGTGACGGATCGTTCCATCCTTGTTCTGCTGGCTGGGGTTGGGGTTTCCCGGAGTGATCTCGTCCACAGGGCATCCGTACTGGAGGATGAGTGAGTGAAAGCTTAGCACCGGACAAGAGTCTGTGACTAACACAGGTGTAGAACGGGAAGTCCGAGAAATCACACAATTCTATCAGTCCCTGTTCGTGTTGGGGCATGCCGTTGCAAATCTTGGTCGAGTTGTCGATTTGAGGCGTCGAGCATTGCAGGGGTGCGAAAGAGTCCAGCTGAGAGAGCGGGACCGGATTCATCACCCATTTCAGCACTTGTTCTGTGGAAACGATCCAAACTGTGGATCCTTGCGTAAGCCCGCTGACTAGTTGACACGCGACTGGATGCGGGCTTACCGTTCTGCAGCTGCTGCGCCCAGTCCAGGAACTCGTTCACGATATTGATCGTCGAGTTCGGTGCTTGGATTCCGGGGTAGTTGTATGCCAAATGGATCGGATGTGTGTACAACCCGAATGGTTGACGCTGGCCGTTGTAGTGATCCATGAACGTGCTCTTGAGGTAGGCCAGAGTCGCCGTGTCGTTGACCGCCGAGTTGCCATTCGCCGTGTCGCTATTCCAAGTGGTCAGACCCATATCAGAGCACAGGAACCTGTTGCAAACTCACAGGTACGGATCCATGAGATGCACGCCGGCAGCTCCTCGCTCGTCGAACGTGGCATACATCGGGACTTCCCAGAACCCAGGCAGCACAGGCTGACCTTTGCACTGACCCTCGACCTGCAAGCAGTCGTTCGCCATCCCGTTGTCAAGCGTGTACGGCCAGTATGCATCGGTCCCCTGCGCTGTCACGGGGATGGCCGAGGCGGCACTGGAGTCGTACGTAAAGCCGAGGGTGTGGAGCATCTTCAGCGTGTCGACTGTGTAGTTAAGGAACGGGGCTCGGAATCCGATAATGTCCTTGAGCGGGATCCCGGCCAAGGCATTAAGCGCGATCAGATTGCCGGCCACTTCGTTCTCAGGCGGCGCTCCGACATGGGTGATTGTGTGGTCCGCGATTTCGTTTCCGGCGACATACCAATCTAGCCATACACAATCAGCGATACCCATCATCGGGCAAGTGCACCGCACATACCTGTCACGAGGGTGTAATTAGTGTAGTTGAGGGAGGTATAGTACGTCATTTTCGGTCGGCAGCCGTTAGGATTCTTTCGTTGTGCGAGGAACTGGTTCACAGAATCGAGAGTGTACGACTGGATAGCATCGTCGGCGGTGAAGATGAGGAACATCGGAACATCGGACTAGGTTTAAGCTCAGTCCAGGTTCTGTTCTTTCCTCGGAAAGTTCTCGACATACGGCATTGAGCCCTCCGGGCGGACTCGTACTCGCGCAATTGCAAGTCGGGAGCTTGCACTTGGTTGCGTCGCAGGAGTAACCGGCGGCCGAGGCGCTCGACGTGGCTCCCGAAATGGATCCATCCTGTGCCTTCACCGACGCAAGGAGAGGCGCCAGCAAGCCGATGAGCAACGTCCCAGAGAGCATTCCGGTCGTTTTTAATGGCGCAGACGGGGTCGTGCGGAGAAAGGAAGATGGTGGTGCGGAACAAAGAGTGTGAGAGCTATTTATAGAGTTCAATGTCAGCAGCTATGCCAGGCGGCATGAAGTTATTTTCGTACAAACCTGGCTTCGTATATAGCTTGACCGCAAACTTAGTCACACCCCAGTTCTCGAGTTGTCCAAGATGCAACGCGAACGGGTCTGGGCGATGCAAGGTTGCCGGCTCCCTCGAATCGTGACCAGGTTCACTTCTTCCCTCGACTGCGCAGACATCCTCCCATATCCCCTCCCTGCTCGATAATCCCCATCCTCATATCGTCGATGACTTCTGAGACCTGTCGTTGGCGACGAGCAAGGAGCGGGTTGTAAGTATTTTGTGTTTGTGGTCGTGGTTGGAGCCCAACGGGACCCGGAAAGAAGAGAATGGCCCAGTGTCCCACAGTCCGGTCATGGACATGTGGATCTCCATCTGGACATCCCTCACTGCATAGGTGAGGATGTATGCGTCTTGCGTGTTCCAATAGTGCATCGGCTCAATCCCAATAGATCCTAGGGCCCGCGTCTGATAAGGAATTTGAGCGGAGTGACTTCGTTTCTCAGCCGTCAGAGAATCGTTGCATTTGCTTGCTTCCTCGGTGTATTCGCCCGATGCAGGATGGTCGTTCAACTGGGATTACCGGGAGCAGGTTGTTGCGTCAAGTCACGCGTCTCGAACCTGGCTGGAAGTCCTCAACAGCCTTCGGCCGAACACGAGTGCTTACCACACTACCAGTGGGCGATGTGACATGGGGGTGCACGGGCGTTCATGGCCGTTGCCTCGTCCGGGCCGGTTGCGGTGAGAAGATGGGAGGGAGGGGGGGAGTACAGCAGCTTCGAGCTCGGGCGTGCACTCTCACGGAAAGCTGTTCGGGCCAGGAGAGGAGGCATGGAGCAATCAGCGAACCGGCACTCGCGCTTGTGGATGAAGAGAGGAGAGAGCGGGAAAGAGAGCGGATGCCTAACGAGCGCTGTCGCTTGGCACGGCACCCATCATTCGGCAGCCTGGAACTATTTGGTATCGTTTCGTACCTTCCTTACTCCGCCCTTTTCTTCCGACCTCCCTCACTCGACCCACTCCCCGCCACGCTACGTGCGCAAGCCGTCGCGGCCTTTTCCTCTCTTCGTCCAACTCAGCGGCGGGAATCCCGTCCATCATCATCATGTTACCTCACGTCCTCCTTATGCTTTTGGGCCCGCTCCTCGCGTGGGCTCAGGATGACGGCAGTTTGAGCGGAGCGACCTCTAGCGCCGCTGCGGCCGGATACAACTGCGACGCATCCAAGTGCCAGCTCCCCAAATGCAACTGCGCCAGCACGAACCCGCCGGGTGGCCTGAAGCCTGTACGTATCATGCGGTTTCGGCGGCTGGAAAGGGATCTCGGCTGATTAGAATGACTCAGTCGGACGTCCCGATGTTCATCGTGTTCACCGCCGATGACGCCATCCAGAGCTACACGCTCAACTCGGTGAACCAATTCCTCGGGCACCGCAAGAACCCTAATGGCTGCCAACCGAAAATGACATATTACACCTCGCTCAACTACACGAATTACACTCTCGTCACAGGTGCGTGTGTGCCTTGCCTGTGCTCCACCCGCTCTTTTTCCCGTCGCACTCATCGCTTGGGTTTCAGATTGGTATGTCGCGGGCAACGAGATCGCTGACCACACGATGACACACGTCGGTTCCCCGCCGGAAAACGAGATTGATGGGAACTTGATCGCCTTGAACGCTCTGGCCGGGATCCCCATGGCGTCCATCCAGGGATTCCGTGCACCGTACCTGAACTACACGGTCGACACCCTCAAGTACCTAGCCAAGGCGGGATTCACATACGACTCAAGCGCATCTGCGTCCATTCCCGTCACGGATCCGGGCACGGACGCCTACTGGCCGTACTCTCTGGATTACGGCATGGCGAACGATTGTCTGCAGGTGCAGGGCTCGTGCAAAGGGCAGCCCGTTTTGCCTGGCTTCTGGGAGATTCCGATGTATGCGTTCTTCGATCAGCGCGGACCTGCCGGACCGCATCTCATGGACCCTTGGCTGTGAGTCGCCAAGCCGCTTCGTTCTCGGGTTCTGATCTGACGGTGGGGGGTACATAGCGATACCGCCAACGGCAACTCTGCGGTCAACGATTCTGCGACGTTGGAATACATGAAGGCGACCTTCACTGCGCATTACAACGGCCAGCGCCAGCCCATCGGTCTCTACACCCACCCCATCCACGTTGCGCCTGATTACCCCGGTGTCCAGCCGCTCAACTCGACCATCAACATGATCAACCAGTTCTTGGACTGGGCCCAAGTGCAACCCAATGGTCAGTCCGTTGTCTTATTCGGGATGAATGATTGATCCTACCTGCTCCCATAGTCTGGATCGTGTCCTCGGAACAATTGCTCGCCTGGACGAGGAATCCTGTTCCCTACTCGCAACTGGACAGTTTCCAGCCGCTCAAGTGTTCGGCACCAGCTGTTGATGCCTCGGTCAAGATCTGCAACGGAGTTCCGCAGAACGAGGATGGTCTCCTCTCGCACTGCCCTTTCTCGGACTTCCCTTTCTTCACCTGTGTACGTTGGCAGGTCTAGTCGTAATCATTTCCGCTCATGTTTTGTGCAGTATGGTTGCCCCGAAACCGAGCCCACTGTTGACAACCCGAACCCGGCCCAACAAATTCCGACTGGCCAGCAGGCTCGGTTCCGCCGTGAGTGTGCATTTCGTTTCGGGTCATCTCGGTGCTCACTATGATTGTGATCAGTGCCCTCCAACTGCTCGACTCCGTTCTGGGACCCTATCGCCGGCAAGTGCATGTGCACCGGCTCGAACTGCCAATTCAATGACATCTCGCGACCCGTTGGCGCGAATGGTGCCAATTTGACGGGCGGTGGAACCGGCGGCGGAGGCTCCGCTGCGACCGCCAGTGCGACCGCCTCGTATGTGCCGTTCAATGGCCAGGGCGGCTCCAGTGCGCGCGGTCTGTCGGCTGGCGTTTGGGCTGCCACTGCAGTCGGTGCGTTCGGTGCGCTCGTTGGCGTCGTCGGTGTTTTCGGGTGGTGATCATTGGACAACCTTGACTCTTGCATCTCACACATACACATTCGCTACTACAGTACATACTGACTATCTACCACCATGGACTAGTAAATTAATCGTGTTCTGCGCTGGTCGACTGACCGGCCCCCCATGTGGCGCCCAGCTCCAAGAGCGGCGATCACTCCAGGCTGTCGCTTGGCTGGTGTCTTCTCTGTCCCTGACATCATCATCAGCTCAGCTGAGTCTCCGAGTACCTATCATACGTTCACTGGACGGGAGCCGGACAGAAGGAGCCACCAGCTCTCGTCATGGCGCAGATCAGCAGCCACAAGGCTGCTCGCTGACGCATGCGACAGCTTGCACTGCGATCGCGCTCACTATCAAGGACATGTCATGTCACTCCGGGGACAGACCCCAGCCTGCCCATTCATGCTCCAGTTCATCTCGCTTCCTGGGCTTCTGCATCAAGAATCTGCTACAGTTGTAAGGTCGTACTCGTACAGGACAGGTAGGGACAGATCGTGGTTGGTCGCATGCACTCCCGCGCTCCCACGAATGGATCTAAACACCGTTTCACGTCCACGCCGCTCTCACGCGCGACGGGATGCAGGTTCGTTGGTTTCGTCTTCTTCTTCTTCTTCGTGACCTCTTCTTCTTCGTCATCTTCTTTGCAGCCTCTTCTTTTCGAGTTCCTCTCCTCCCCCCCCTCAACGCTAAACGCTCACCTCACCTCCTGCCGGCCAGTGGGTCCCGATGTACGCACTCACCCCGGACAACATCGCCTCGTTGCGGGGCGCAGAGAACGCACGGATGATGGTCATCGGGATGTTCTGTCTCTCCGGTGGGTGGCGGTTGTTTCGTCGCCATCATTCCCATGGTGCCGCGGTAGCTGACGAGACCCCCCCTCCCAGTGTATGATGTGAGCGCGCTCCGTCGCAGTGGTCCTCTCGCAGACACTGAACTGACCCGTCGGCCGCCCCAGTTGTTGATCAGCTTGGACGACGAAGTGCGTGGTGCTCTTGCTCGCAAATGACGGTGCTAATTGATCCTCGGCGCGCGGCAGATCCGATGCTTTTGGACCGGACGCTGGACACTCTCTCGCGCGCTCTTCTTCATTGCAAGTCACATCCAGCAGCGTCCCCCCCAGTCCCGCGCGCGCTGATTTATGTGCTGCGTCTCTGCAGAACCGATACCTCAATCCCGCGATATGTGTCCTCGCACTAGCCTGTATGTGTCCATAGCCCGTGCACGTCTCCTGCGCATCACTGATGTGCGATTGTGATGCAGGCGTGTCTCTCCCGGATCCGAGCATCAGAGTGAGTGCGCGCTAGCTTCGAGATCTTGTTCTTCTTGGAATGAAATTCGCCGCCGCGGCAGTTGTGTGTATTTTCGTTGATTCATCGTGCTACTCGGCTTTGACGCTGCGAGCAGCTGCAGGCAGGGAATCCAGTTGCTCTTTGTGGTCAGCACTCTAGCACTCGGGATCGTCCAAGGTCAGCCGGCGAGCCTTACCCGTCCCATTATGTCATTCCCAGACTCGCGCGTCTGCTTTAGCCATGCTCGCTATCCGGGTCTGGTACTTGTTCGCCAGCAGCCGCGCGATGCGACTGTTCATAGTCGCTGCTTCCGTGGTCACCAACGTGCTGTCGCTGTATCTTGCTGTGCGAGAGGGGGTGGATATGAAGGTGCAGCCTCACATACCCGGTGTCCTGGGATGCCATGCCACCCGGCCGCCGATGTTCTGGAGACTCTTTTTGCCGTCTCTTGTCCTTCATGTGAGGTTTTTAATCCTCTTCAAGTTCCCATCTCCTGATATCGTCTTCCAGACTGTCCTGTATATCTTGACTGCATATCGAGCACTGCGCAACAGGGCGGTGTTCAAGGAGGCACCGATTCTCAAGCGCCTGCTTAGGGAGTGAGTCAATATATGGTCCTTCGTGCGCCAGTAGATCGATTGATGTTGACCCGTCCTTACAGCGGAGGATTCTTCTATTTTGCCGTCTTCTGTATTGACACTTCAGCTGTCTTCCTGTATCCTTCGCTCACATTCTCTACCAGTATCCGTTCTGTTCACTTCCATCGGCTCGTTCTTGAATCAATACCCATCGGTAGGTCCATCCACTCAAACACCGTCGATCTAGATAAATAAACCATTCACGAATCGCCCAGATCAACGTGCCTGCCATCTTCTCAAAGTAAGCGAGCAAACATGTTGCCCATCGTTGCTCACCCCCACGGCCAGCTTCTCGGTAACGACGACCTCGATCGCCGCCTCGCGCATCATGCTCAGCATCCACTCCCTCGCGCACAAACTCGGCTCCGACTCCGCGTGGCTGCTCAACAACGTCGAGCTCAGCCGCGTGCCGTGGCGCCGCGGCGCGACCGAGGGCGAGATCATCGTCGAGCGCTTCTCCACCGAGTGCCCGGACGCGGAGGTGGATGGCGATGTGGATGTGGATGTCGAGTCGGGCGGCGCGGGTGGGAGGGGGGTGCCGCTTAAGACGAGCCGCGTGGGGCGCTGGACGGACGAGACGTGGTAGGATCCTGGATGGATTGGTCTGGGTTGGATTTATGTATATGTACAGTACAGTTCACGCGTTCTTGAATAAATACCTTGTATAGTCAGGCTGTTCATCTGTGCGCGATTCAGTTTCGACATGACTGGTTCTGGATTCCGAGCAACACATCAATATTCAAAAGCCAGACGATTCGATCAAGTACGGTAGATAGGTTCATAGTCAGGTAAGTAGTTTCATATGTAGGCAGCACAGACGGTAAGTAAGCAGTCATCGGAACGAACATCACAAGCAAGCAGAGATCACACACACACAGAACACACACCACATTCACATTTCACATTTCAAAAACACCACCACCAGCGCCACGTCCCCTATTTGTCGGGCCCCTCCTTGTCCTTCTCATTCGGTATCTGCTCGGCGTCGATCCCGGCATTGAGATCTGAGTTCGCGCTCTGCTCCTTCACTTGCTCAGCGACGACAAGCCCCGCCGCGCGTTCGCCGCCCCCAAGCGGACTGCTCTTGAATCCCAGGCGGCTCACTTTCGGAGCGATGAGCGCCGGCACGGGGATCGGGGACACGATTCCGCCACCGGGGGTGCCCGCGGGTGTACCTGTGCCGAGACGGCGCTTGCGCTCGAGGAGGATGGCCATGGACGGCACCGGTGACGCGGACGCGCTGCGCGAGATGCCGTTCAGCACGTTCTTCTTCACGGCCGCGTCCTCGGCTTCCTCGGGCATCGTCGGCGTCGGCGACGGCGAGGAGTCGCGTCCGACGACGACGACGACTGGACCGCCGCCGCCGCCGGGTGCGGTGAGGTCCTCCGAGGACAGGTGTTCCTTGATGGCGAGACTGCCGGCGGCGTGGAGAGGCAGGTTGGGGGCTACGGTATCACGCGGAGTCGGCGGAGCGCTTCTCGAGCGCAGGAAGTTCAGTCCCTTGAGTGAAAGGACGGGAGTGGGTGCCTTGAGAGATACGTTCGGCGCTACGGGGATGACCTCGATCGTGACTGGGACCGTAACTTCTTCACCGGGCGGGACGTAAGGATCTCCGTGAGCGCCCTGCGGGTCGAATTCGTCGTAAATCTCTTCACCGATGAGCTCTGTATTCGTCCTTCAGTGAACTAGAGATAGGATTGTGGATGCCAGCACAAACCTTCAAGCACGTCCTCGAGCGTGATGATCCCAAGAGGCATCACAGCGGGGTCGAAGTTTTGCAGGAACTGGGACGCGAGGTCAGCGGGGCCTTCAAAAGTCGCGAAAGAAATCACGTACCTCTGCAACACCTTCTTTACCGAGGACAGCATCCGCAGGCATGCTCTGCTCCAGTCCAGAGCGCGACGGCAGTTGGAAACTCGCCCGCCGACTTCTCTCGCGTTCCTCGGGGACAGCGGTAGCCGTGACCCGCTGGGAGCGACCGCGCGCAGATGCGTAGTAGCTCTTCAGGGTCTCGTCGCCCTCGGACGACTCTTCCTCGATTCCTTCCTCGATATCCCGGAACTTCTTCTTGACCGCGCTGTCTTTCTCTTTCTCTTTCTCCTCCTCCTCGTCACTCGAGTCGCCCATCCCGACACGCTCCCGAAGGCGCTGAGTAAGACCGCGCTTCACAGCTTTCTTGACGCTGGCAGCCTAGAAACAGATCGTCAGTGGGTAGGTCAAGAATCTGCGATATCGCCATACCTTGTCTTCACCAAATCGGCTGACGATAGCCATGTGGCTTCGGCCTTCTTGGAACTTGTCCAACAACCTCAAGAGCGGCTCGTTGTGTGGGATGAACGGGACTTTGTTCAAAGGAATCTTCCGCAGCGGGATAGCGTCTGCGCACGAAGTTGGTGATTGTGACATCATGCTGCAAGGAGACAACACACCCTTGGGATCCAGCAACACGCAGTGCTTGACCAACAGAATCCCGATGATCTTCTTCACCTTGGTGCCATTCAACTCAATCTCTTCGTAGACCGGTACCCGGCTGTGGCCCGTGAGACAGATCTTCTTGAGCAGGTCGTAGTCGAGATAAGAGTCGATCGAAAGCATGAAAACATCCGCGATCGGAGTCATGGCCTGTCGCACGACCTTTTCTTGGAGATCGAGCGTCGCGCCAATGATGGTGACAGTGTCCGTGCGAAGATCGCCACCGTGTGTGGCACCCGAGTCGTGCATGGCAATAAGCTCTTTGAGTTCTGGCAGACCAAAAGTTTCAGAAGGTGGGCGACTTGGAGGGTGGAAACGGGGACAAACGCACCTGCCCTGCGGTAGATGATGCCATGGTGAGAACCCAGGATGAGTTCGAGCAGCTTGGCAACTGGCCAAGCAACAATGCCCTGGCCAAAGATAGCTTCAGCTCTCCTGCCGCGGCATACAGTATCACCCGGCACACGCACCAAGCCATAGATCAAAACCCTAGTGAATCCAGCCATCTTCGCGCCGAGGAACAAGCCATGACGGGTGAACAGGGACTGGGGGATGATTTCCGCAAAACTGCGCAGAGTACGTTTTAGTGCGGGACGACGGCGGAGGAGAGTAACCCCGCATGTAACACGTCGCGTGACGTCACGAAGCTGTCTGCTGAATAGAAGCATTCCCATGCGCGCCACGTCTGGGGGACGCGAGGGGATGCTTCTAATAGCCTACGGAACGAGGAGAGCATACTCACATGACGATGAGCACCGTGGAGACCACGACTGACTGCACGCCACCCCCCAGAACCGGGTCGGCGACAATAGGGAGAGTCTATCCGCGCGTTCAATCAGCGGAAGGAGAGGAGACGCATACATGCATGCCCACCTCGTTCGTGATCATGTTGGCGAGCAGCAGGGTCACGAGGAGCAGGTGCCCGTTCTTGCGGATAGGCTTGATCTTGTTCGCATATTCGCGCTGTTTACTGGGCTAGTCTGAGCCGATACCCCCGCGGCCACAAGCACGAAAACGTACGGTGTTCCACTGATGCTCAGGACATTCAGCTGGGTCTCGTCCAAGCTCATGTAGCCGAGTGTCAGCCCGGCAAATACACCGGAGGCGAGTACGAGGACGGGGATGAGTACTGTAAACACCGCGACATGATGAGAGACCGCGGACAACGCGCTGGGAGACGCAGAATTGGGTGCGCACCTGCGAATACGATGCTAGTAGGTTTGTGGGGGTCGAATTTCTCGCGCTTGAAGAGCGAGCCGCCCGCTTGGGAGGCGTTGGAAACGCCATATTGGGTGATAGGAAGCAAGTGGGTGACATATTGGGAGGCTACAGAATATAGACTGTACACGAGACGAGTGGATTGCTTGGACAGACCGGGGACTAGGGTCATTCGAGGTGGTGGGATTCAAGGGCTGTATGATCAGCGGATGATTTATATAATACGAATCGCGTGATGTCACAAACTTCCGGCTGTATGAATGTGGGAGAGTTCCGAACTGTATAAATAGCTGTGTATTGGCCGAGCATTTCGTGAATGCTCACGAGACGGCGGAGAGCCGGCATGAAGGCAGCGTCGGAGACGTTGGACCAATATGGAAAACATGGGCCTTGATTGAGATACCACTGCCTATCAAAGTGATTCCTTCAAGCTGCGTACAAACTACCGGGGATAAGCGCGTTACGTGAAAGCCCTTAGGCCGCATGGCGTATAGCCTACATAACGACAGCACCGCCCTTTCGGACCGCAGTCTTGACGTGGTATGCATTGTGCAGGTCGAAGAGAAAGAAACCCGACTTGTTCTTGTTCGTTCACGGACTGGCGAAGCAAATGCGATGCTTTGGTCGTCTGCACGGACAGTGGGAATGGCCCATCCAAAATGGGGCCGTGTCAAGGACAACCGACATGGCCGAGGCCTTCATTCATGGGAAACCTGGTGACCTCAAGGGCAAGTTCTGCGGATAACACGGGAAGCAACAGCGATGGCAGCGAGCGCTTCCGGGCCCATCCAAGGCGTATGGCGACTGCGTCCTCGTGGGATAGACGAACTATTAGAATGCCGGATTCCAGACCAGACAAGGAGCGGACGGAAGACGACCGAGAGTGACCCCGCTTTGGGGCCAGATCGATGATTGAGTTTGTTCGGAGAGCATCCAAGGTGGTAAATCATGACATGTGTTCTCACGGCTGCGAATAAAAGCCACAGTAAGACCGATAAGCGAAGCAAATGAGGACAAGTGGAACGTCCGGTTACGTGCGGGTATGTTGGTGCACCGAGGGAGCCCACTGAGTCCCTGAATGGCCATCGCACCCCAAGTAACAACGTCAGGGATCCACATTTCGAGGCAGAAGAATACACATCCAGTGCGAGGTGTGGCCCAAAGTGAGGATTGAATAGGGAACGTGTGCCCGCGCGGAGCACAAAAGGTCATTCAGATCGAGCCTTGTCGTGCCTCGGAAGGATGAGTGCTATTTATCCTCAATCATCTCGAGTGGCCGCGTCCCACCGCGTCCCAGGCCGAGTCGCAGGGTCATGGATGAAAAAGGCAAGTCCGAGCGTAATCCGGGGTAAGCACCGACAAACACACCGAAGCGATCGATCATTGTGGAGGACTCTTAGTTGTTCCTCCCTTTCAACTGTCGGGTCCACAGTTCCGCTCACCTCTCGCAAACCATGTCCAATCTCCTCCATTCTGCTCTGCACTCCTCGACCAATCTGAGCGCTCTCAGCGGCTGGCCTGGGCCTCATGGCGGTCCGGACACACCACCCGTACCATACTCGCGCCCGACTACCCCAGGCGGCACCGTCGGCAGCGCCTTTCCCGTGCAAATCGGCTTCGTCGGACTCGGTGCCATGGGTGGATTCATGGCCCAAAACCTGGCGAACCACCGTGCCGTACACGTCCACGGGTCTCCCCCCATCCTCGTCTGGAACCGCACGCAGTCCAAGGCCGACGCGATCTTCACCGAGTTGGGTCAGCACAAGATACGCGTGGCGACCTCGATTGAACAGATTGCTGCCGAGTGTGACATCATCTTTACTGCGCTCAAGAGCGACGAGGTGGTCAAAGACATCTATGGGCAGTTGGTCAAGGCTCTGAAGGCAAGCCGAATGTTTTATACACCCGAGTACAACTGAACATCTTGAAAGGCGTCCCCTCCCGCACGAAACAAGATTTTCGTGGAGACAAGCACAGTACGTCATCAGATGACGCCCTGTGCCATCCATTCAGGAAGCTTCGTCAGATATATCCCACATTGGCTGGCGAACTCGACTCCCTTGTCTCCTCTGTCCCGCATTGCCGTCTGATCGCGTGCCCGACGTTCGGTACCCCGCATGTCGCCCAGTCCGCACAGCTGCTCATTTTGATGTCGGGCGATTACCGGTGAGTGGCTGCCCACGCGTAGCTTTACAATCGCTCACTCTGATCGTCAGGTCCAAGAAGGAAGTCGCGTACATGATGGTCCCCGCTGTGGCACGCAAAGTCATCGATCTCGGAGGCAACATTGAGAAGGGTGCGGGCAGATCGAGTGTTCCAGTCGTCGTCCCGCTAATGCCCGTGTCAGCTGCCACTTTCAAGCTCATTGGAAACGCCATGGTTCTGGGCACATTAGAGATCCTCGCTGAATCTTACACGTTGGCGGAAAAGTCGGGCATCCCTGCCTCTGAGGTGCATGCCCTCGTGCGCGGTGAGTTTGCTGCTGTCTCCGTTGCCTGATCTCACGACTTCCCAGATATATTCCCTGCCCCGAGGCAAGCTACATTGCTCGAACGACGCGCCTTCTAACCTTTCCTCTCAGCATCTTGCGGTACTCCGAACGAATGTCGACAGATCGGTACGATGGCACGACGGGTTTTGCAGTGGATGGTGGAATCACGGATGCCTCGTCAGTCTTCCATAAGCTTTTCCTGACCTGACCCCTGACGAGACTTTCCAGCCACATTCGCCGTCTTACGGCTGTGCGTGACTCTCCGATGCCGAGTGTAGATCTGGCGCATCAGCACCTGATCACCGCGCGGGCGATTCACGACAGCCATGTCCGGGACGGGACGCAGATCGTAGATGTGCTGGACGTCAGCGGGATCATCGCGGCGACGAGGGTGGCCGCTGGTTTAGACGCGTTCAACAGTAAGAAGAACTCTGGTGTCGTCGAAGAAGACTGAGCCGTCATGTCACCCCAACTGTAATGCTGTAATAGATTGTGTGGCATCTCTAGAGCTCGAGATCCGCGACGACACCTAATCCCCCCTCTAATCCAGTTTCATTGGGTGCCAAGGATAGGAGATTCGCGAGACTACCTACACCAACCTCGACAACATGTGTTGTTGTTTCTCGACGACACTTGGCCTGCCATCTGACGTGCATTGCACTATCACGGCCCTGTTCTCGGTACCCCAGGTCGGTGCAACCAATCCGATGCTCCGTGTAGGAACGACACGGGCGCACGGCACCCTAGATGTTCATGAGCGCTGTTCTCGGGTCCAATACAGTTGTTCATCTTCCGCATTGACATCGATTGCACTCATCGATTGAGGTGTTGGTGCTATAGGCTAGATTTGCGTCTCATCGTGTACAACAACCTCCCCGCGCAAACCCTAGTCACACATGCACGTCTTGAGTGAGGCGTTCGGGTTCACTACGAGTATCAGCTCTAACCAGGGATTGTCATCATCTTTGCTTTGGCGCAATCTGAGTTGGACTACTCCAGACTCGGGGCTGGAGCCTCTGCGATTCTGAAAGCGTACATAGTAGCACGCACTCTCTATCGGCGAATCACCGTGAGATAATATATTCCCTGATGCACACACACACAGTGCCTGACAACTTAATCCTATCCAGTCGTGGATCAGTCGTGTCGCTCAATCCAAATCCAGCTCAATGCAGACCACACCATGGCAAGGACGCCCCATGATTCATGGAAGCTCGTACTCTTTGGCGCATCCTGGGCCGCCCTGACAGCGTGTGATGTACCAGTTCGTGTGCGTCCTCATGTCCCAGCTCTTCTTAAACAACGTCGTCATGTACTTGCTCTCCAAAGTCAACTCGTTCTTCCACCACCTCCGGCGCGCTCTAGGCATGGAACCGCTCCTGCAGCCCACCAACATCCACGTCAGCTTGGCCTTCATGCTGTTCCCACCCGCATCGTCGGCACGTTTGAGGCATACTCGTCGGAAAACCTTCTGAACTATCTGATCGGCCATGGCGAAGACCGCCGTGCCATCCGCGTCACTAGGGTCGAACTCTACGAGCGAACCACCGCGCCCATGCACGAGTTCATCGTGTGCCACTACGTCGACGTCCAAGAGGGAGAACCACGCTCTCTGCACAATCTTCTCCTCCTTGACCGCCATGGCGGCGGTCGGGGCGATGACACAGCACCTCCATCCCGTCATGTAATCTCCGTCAGGCCTGAGGACGCGCCGCGATATCTCGGAGCGCAGAGCACGCTGTTTGTTGTCCTACCACTGCGCCGCATAGTCTCTTCTCACTTTCTTCAACAGCAAACCTGGAGAACGCACGACGGAGCGTTCTGCTCAACCATCGACGCAAGCTGTTGGAAACGCGAACGACCCCACTGCTGAGCCCCGACTCCGCTCTGCTGCCCAGTACGTAGTCCATCGCTCTCGGTTGGCAAAGCATTGAGCTGAACTCTCCCCCACAGCGGCCCAGGAGCCCACAGTCTTCAACAGCATGATCAGTGCCGCCGAAATCGTGGCTGCCAGCAGCGGAAAGAGGATCCAGAGCAAAGCTATAGACCGCGCGCTCATTTCGGTCTCGAGGGACAAGACGCAAATCCAGGCCATGCAAGGTGGCCCGGTGAAAATACTTGCATGGTTCGATGTCCCATCCTCCAATCGCATCTCATTGTTCCAGGTGCTCGCAGCGGCCCAGTTCATCACGACCCACTCCCCCAATTATCACCTGTTCCTTTCTTGCTGCTATTACTATGCACGCACTCTCTTTGCCATCTTGGCCAACCGGACCAACCGGCTGGAGAACCACATTGGCACTATCCCTAGTGCCACTATCCTCAAGGTCAATCCTCTGGACTGGGACACAACACACACAGTCGAAGTGGAAGGTGGCACTGAGCCCCATGGTCCAGCAGCGGTGGCCGAGGAGCCCAGCTCCAGTGGTGAGGCTATGACTTTTAGCTCAAATGCAGCCGCACAGGTCATCCGGCCATTTGCCAGCTTGACAAAGGCTCAAATGCGAGGTCTTGTCAAGGAGCGCTTTTCGGCCCAGAACATGGGGCAGCTATTCGAGGAGTACTATGAGAGTCTCAAGAAACGGGCTGATGAATGCCGCGATGTGTGTCTTTCCCTTTCATTTTGTCTGATACTCACATTATGCCAGAATCTTGTGGCCCCATTGCGTGCTGAGACTACTGCTCGCCAGACTGAGGCTGCAGCTCGCCAGGCTGCAGAGGCCGAGGCTGCTCGAGAGGCTGCAGGTCGTCAGGCTGCAGAGGCCGAGGCTGCTCGAGAGGCTGCAGGTCGTCAGGCTGCAGAGGCTAAGGCTGCTCAAGAGGCTGAGGCTCGCCAGGCTGCAGAGGCTAAGGCGGAGGCTGCAGATGCAAAGATTGCACAACTCGAGGCAATGTTGCGTGCCCAGCAGAACTGAACATAATTTTGCCTACAATTTAACTGATTGTAACTTCAATATGTGATTCTGTGTTGCACTAGTAGTATCTTCCATGGCTGAGATCATACACTGGTTGACCGAGAAAGCAAGTTTGTGGTCTTGGAAGCGTTGTTTGACCACTTCATGTTTGCGTCGCATTGCATCTGTCCGTGAACTTCTCTTGCCTTAACGTCGATGGCCAAAGGAAAGAACCTGAATCCTGCTGATGCCCATCGTGAGTGTCTACGAAAGGCGTTCTTTACGGAGCGCTCACCCAGTCACCAAGGCAAGGCACTGCGAAAGAAGGAGCTAAAGAAGGCGAGCCTATTAGTGTCGGCGCAGAGGGATGCCTTTGCTGACGACGCGATTGCGCGCAGTAGAACAAAGCTGAGCGTTCGAAGACAAGGGATCTCGCTATTGTCAAGAAGGACACGACAGGTGCGCGTGCTCACCCCAGCTCGCTATGCCCGCCGTCTGATCCAAACCAGATTTGGCCGCCGAAGTCGAGCGCCTGGAGTTCGCGACCGACCCCAAAGACAAGGCGCGTTACAAGGACGCCAAGGCAGAGCTCGACCGCATCTACGCGAAGAAGGAGGAATATCTGAAGGAGCATCCGGAGCACCGCAGACTCGTGTACAAGGGGAAGAAGGACGACAGCCAGCCGGATGTCCCGGTCAAGCTGTCGACCAGGAACTACTTTGACAAGCACGGACTGCCGCGGCACCCCGAGCGCAGTGTCTACTATGATCCTGTGATGAATCCGTTTGGTGTCGCGCCGCCGGGGATGCCCTACCAAGAGCGACGTACGTCAGTTCACGTCTCGAATCATGTTTCTAGTCTGACGATCGTTGAAGCGCCGCTTCCGGGTGAGGTTTACAGTGACGCGTCCGAGGACGAAGGTCTGTGCCATCCGAGAGTCGAACCGCCGCATTCCTGACCATTTGAATCAAGACGACGACGACGACGTGGCCATGCCAGATGGCCCACCGCCTGATGACGA